ATGAGATAGCTGGATGCGATTAGGACTGAGATTGTTAATTCTGATAGGCATTCCACTGACATCCCAAAGACAAATAAAATGAAATAAAATAATTGGCACAGCCTCGACATTTCGTATGTTTCATGCCTTTGTGCCAGAAGTTTGAATGAATGTTTAGGATACAGAGAGCCAATAAATATCACCTACAACAAATCATGTTCATTTAAATATGTTCTGTCTATTGTTTCTCTTCACACCCACAGAAAAATGCAACATAATAGCACATTTTTTCCGCTAGCTTTCAAAGGACCCTCAAAGTTGGCTGTGATGTTCATTTTTTTGCGTTAGTGTTGTCACACTGCTATTATACCTCGCATCCGCAACAGAAATTGACACTGGCTTGTCCCCTGCTTCTGTATACTGTGGCCTTGGGTGTCAAGGGAAAATATTGCTTTGCATTGTTGTGTTGCTTTGATTTCTCTTTCCTTTCCCTCTTCTTTTTTCTCTCTCTTTTTAAAGGTTTTTAACGTATTTTTGAGCCACAGGAGAGATACCAAACACCTTTTGACACAAAATTAGTTCCTGGAAACCTCTAATTAACTGAGAGAGCATGTTTTCTCTTTCCTAGGTTGAGATTTTCAACTGACAAGTGCTCTTTTTTTTTAAATCCAGGTTTACTGTAGAAATATTTTAGTGTAAAAGTGACCTGTTCAAATCATTAAGGAGTCATGACAGCTGGGCAAAAGATTCATTTGCAGTCATGCTTCAAAGTTAAGAAACAATATGAAGCCTCTTTGGATAGCGTTGATATGACTGCCTCCAAGGATGGTAAGAGCCCTACTTTTAGATACTTATTCCATATAAAAACATTTTGTTTCCGAAAATTTAGGGCATTCTTTTACTGCTTATTTGTCCCACTTTTCATATAGTAAATATTTCATCAAGGAGGATCAAGATGTCACATTACTTTTTGGGAATTTGGGAGCCTAAATAAATAAGAAAATATTAGCTACACCAGATACAGTGTTTGTTTTTGTGGGTATGTTCATGTGCATGCATATGTTTGTTGCAGAAAAAATATATGTTCATGTTAGAAAATTCAAAATGTTTATAAAAGATAAAAATTTTTCTCTTCTAACTGCATAAGTGTCTAGACACATACTAGCTATCTCTCTATCTCTGTATAATACAAGGGTCAGAGACAACTGTCTCAAGTCACCTCTAATAAGTGGAGATGTAATTTTGGTTTACACACTTGAAGCAGAGAGCTCTCGGAGGCATGGATAACTCTGTAATGGATTCATCCTATCTATCTTTTTACCATGGTGGGTTCTCTATAATGTAGACTATTCCTATTCTTTGCATAAGTTAGGGTGACTTAATTCAACAGAACTTTGCTACTCACTCAAGAAACAATCCAATGCAGGAATTCAGACTGTTGAGCAGCTTTCATGCCATGGTGATTCAGAACAACAGGCTCCTTCCTTCTGGTGGGTCTTTTGTCCATTAGGGCTTTAAGTTCTTCTGTATCTAGCCTGTGTAAAAGGAGGAAGAAAGAGGAATCTCTCCCTCATCCTAAAGATCCAAGCCCAGGGGGAACATGCACAATTTCTGTGGATGCACAGATGAGTGGAAAATGTTGACCCCAATTGGTGGCTGCCTTCCGAAGATGGCTGACTACCTGTTATGAAAAAGGAGGCAAAAAGCGGTGTCTCAGCCACCTACCCTGGTGGCCTATTGGTTTTCCTTGGTTCTATTTCACTTTTCTCTGTTCCCACTTCCACATCTTCTTTGTGCATGCCATCTCATCACCTGGGCTTGTCCTGATTCTTCAGGTGCCTGACTCTGCCCCTTGGTGCCTTCCTACATTGTTTTAGACCTTTATCTTCTACTCTCAACTGCTTGACTTTCCTTCCTTTCTCAACACAAATTTCAGAAAGAGAATCTGATTGTCTATTGGTCACCATTTTATCCCTGAGAGGCCACTTCAGCTGTCACTGGCCAGTCTGTGGAATGTGTGTTCATGTGTCTGGTGCCCACCTTTAATCCAATTAGCTGTGCCTTTATTAATTAATTAATTAATTTATTTATTGTGCTGGGGGAGTTGTATTTGAAGTTTTTCTTAGAACTGTGGCCATCTTGATTTTATTTGTCTACCACATGTTGTTTTATTGGTTGTCCCCTCCATCATCAAATATCAGAGGCAGTGTAATAGAATACTTTAGTCTTACTATAGATTAAAAGCATCCACAATCCAAGAAATGTTAAAAAAAAAAGTACTTAAGCATGTGGGTTTCTCTATTCAATTCTTGAAGCTTCCACTTCCTTAAGCCCCAGTGATGAATTTGCTTGTAGATGACAACTAAACATTTCTTTAGCCCTGGCATTTTAGTTTTTAGTACACCATTCCTTTCTTCAGTCCATAGCCACTTCAAGGAGAGTGTGTACAAGTTAAAAGGAGGAATTTTGATTCATGGCAGTTTCTTTAAAACCTTGTCTGTGAAATATGTTACCGCGAATCAGAGATTATGGTTATAATTGGAAGTTGAGTTTAATGATTTTGGTATGTCTTATTGATGGGTAGCATTTAATGTGTCCTTTCCGCTGGGCACTGCTTCAAGCCAAGCTTTACATTCACTGCTTTCATTCCCCACAACTTCCCAGATAAGCGTTTAATCCCTTTGCTTAAACGAAGAAGTAGTACTGGTTCAGAGAGATGATTTCCCTTGCTCAAGGCCACACAGCCAAGTACAGAACCTGAAATTTAAATTTAGGTCTGCCTCTTTCTGTTTCTATCATCTGTTGGTAGCCCCTCCATTTGAATATCTGTACCATCTTTCTGTTTCCTACGCTTTACCCCAAGTAACTAACAGAATATGCAGTGGCGTGTAGAGTCAACCAACATTTCCTGAGCAAAAAGTGCAGTAGCAGCAGTTTCACAGAGACTATGTCATTTACTTTTTCAACAACCCAGGAGCTAAAAATTAGTAGGCCCACTTTACAGATTAAAAAAACTGAGGCTCAGGGGATTAAGTAACTCGCTTGGGCCACAATTTACAAGTGGCACCATCAGGATTTGAATAGAGATCTTCTGGGGCTCTTCCTACCTACCCTCGATATCTTCACTAGTTAGTAAAAATAATTCAGAGAGACAATAATTACTTCACATTAGTGTCCCACAGCAATATGCTCTCAGTTAGTGCTCCGTATGTGTAATGAACAAACTAATGTATTTACCTCCTGCATCTGCTGGTGAGCTAAAGCTGTCATCAAATTTTTTTCCTGCCTTTCCTTCCTGCTTTCCTTTTGATTTGTGATACTTCTAATTGGGAGGCCTGTTAAAAGACAATTTTCAGAAAAAGGTAAAAAATCATGACGCTCATATAGATATAAATATGAAGACATGTTAAAGAATTTATTTTACTCCTGTGTTATGAAGAGATGAGGCAGATGTTACAACCAGTTCAAAGGAAAAGTTTAAAGACCATAAATGTAAATGGAATAACCACAAATATATAGAAATGTATAAAAGAATGTTGAGATGAATGGCAAATGGAGACAAAACTTTTTTTCTATAAGGGAAATGGTAGTGTTCAATTGATCTTACCCTAGATAGGATAGAATTTACATTGCTGTCAGTTACCTGTAATTTACAAAAATTTACCAAATAGCTCAAAGACAGTGAACAAACAGAGCTAGAACTGGGCAGCCAGAGAGTGTGCTATAGATGATGCATTTTTTTTTTCCATTGAAACACAATTTTTTTTTGGACAGGCCTTTAATGTGGTCTTGAGAAGCTCATTTAGAGTATTGTATGTAGTCAATGATAGACAGGTAGTTTGAAATAAACATAATACTCTAGTCCTATATAGAATAGATTTATGAATGAATGGGATATTCTTTTCTCTGTTATTTCTCTATTCTGAGCTGAATGATCAGTAATGGGGCTGGCAAACACAGAAAAGCAGACAGAGAGAATGGGCTATAAATGCTTCCCCCCTTGAGAAAACACGAATATCAGACCATCCTGGCTCTAGCCTGGGCAGGGGCAGGGGTGGAAGGATTGGAGCCCCTTTCGCCCTGGCCTGCCATCCATAAAGAGTCTCAGATTTGCACCTAAAATCTCAGTGATCTCCAAATGAGGTTGAACAGGCACAGTTATACACCAAATGAGTTGAAGAAAGAGCAATTTCATCATACACCTTTCAACGTGTGTCTCATTTCCAACCACAATGACTTGGAATTTAAAAAAAAAAAAAAGAAAAAAAATTGATATATATATTTTTTTAAATCCTGTAACTATCTTGTAAACAGCAAAATTACATTGATATGTGCCCCTTAGTATATACATATATACACATATATGTGTATATATGTATATACACAAATATACATATATATGTGTGTATATATATATACACATTAATTTGTATAGATCAAGCACACTCATTTGGAGAACATAACACTTGTTGTTTCAAACGTTTCCCTTTTAATTGTTTTCTTTTAATTAACCAGGAGGCCCATAAATTCAATTGGCCTTGACTCTCCCCAAACTAAGGGCATTTATTTTTCCCTGCAAAGTGCTGGAGTTGCGGTGCGCCTCCTTTACAAGTCCTCTCGAGTGCACCGGCTGGTGACACCCGAGGGGCGGCTCCTCCACCCTTCCGGCTTTGGGGGGAGGGCCGGGCGTGGGGTCACAATGGCCAGTGTCCCCGCGGGGGCGGCGGCCGCGGCCTCCAGGTGCGGCAGGGGGGCGCGTCCCGCCGCGCCCGGGGAACTTTCACTGGGCGTCCGCGGCGCGCAGACAATGGGCCGGGAAGGGCTTATCGCGGCGCGCAGGCCTTCCCCGAGCGCGGCGGGCGGCGCTGGCGCTTCCGCGGGCCCCGGGCCGCCCGCCGCTTCCTCCCGCGCTTCCTCCCGCGACCCCGCGGCCTCCCGGCGAGGCGCGGCCGGCGGAAACGCTTGGTGGGGTGGCCGCGGCGGCGACACGCGCGGCCGGCCCCGGGGAAACAAAGGCGGGATGTGTGCGGCCCACAGCCCGGAAGCGGGGCGCCGGTGGGGGCCGGGCGGCGCGGCGGCCCCTCTCCGAGCCCATTGTTTGCGGGGCGCACGGCCACACGCGCTCGACGAGAAGTCTGCACATCCTGCCGCCGCTCTTGCCCGGCGACCGCCAGACAAACAGCGGTCCCTCCGCTCGCGGAGGAGGAGCGCTCTTAATGCGATGCCCGGGCCCAGAGTGACACCCGGAGCCTTTCGGGGAAGGCCCCTCTCTTTGTTTCAGCCCTGGCCTTGATGTGTATCGTTTATGATTCTCGCGCTACCAGGACAGGTTTTTAACAAATGTTATTACATTTTTGTGTTGGGGAGAGGCTTTAAATTTCTTAAAAGGGGATAGACATTCTGAAGATCCCTGGAGTAACACTATATATATATATATATATATATATTTTATGTACTAACATTCGAGTCTTACACTGTGCCTGGCAGTATTCTAAGCTTTTCATGGGTAGTAATTCTTTACTCTCCGTAACAGCCCTGTGAGTTTGGTGGTATCTTTATCTTCATTTTCCAGATGAGGAAAGGAAGACACCAAATGAACCGACACAGGTGCAGAGCGGGGGTAAACGAGGCAGCTCGGATCAGGACAGAGGCTTGCTAGCTGGAGTCCAGAAGCCTGAAATAATGCCTTACGACTTATTTTTTTTTTTCATCTCTGGTTTTGATTTTAATTTCATTTTGATCACTGAAATACAGGACGTTTGTAGCCTGTGCTTTTCCTGAACTGGTTATCTAGGGAACCTTGTGACGAGGCAGAAAGTTTGTAGATCAGAGGAGCAAAGAACTTTATTAAGCACGTGCTTTTCTTTATTCATGATTTTATGCACTTTTTAGGATTTAGGTTCTCTCTTGGTTTTTGGTGAAGGGTTGTGGAATTAAAGTGGAATTTGCCGTTGCTATGAAAAGCACATGTCATGTCTATGGCAAATAGAAAAAAAAAGCAAAACGAGCACCAATGTTTGGAACCAATTAATTAATTAATTGGATACTTAAGCCAGAGTTTCCGTTTTCTGATTTATCCTTGTTGGGTGGATGTGACTTAAACTCCCCCTTAAAGAATGACTGAGTCCCTTTTGAGTAAATCAAGGGCCCTATGTGCTATTCTAGAGAAATACCAACCCAATCTCCTACATCGTACAAGCCAGCCTGTACTAACAGTTAAAGTCACCCCAATTAACTTATGCTCTGAGTTCTCAGTAAGGTCCAAATATTCTTAGGGGACAGCAGAGGCACAAATGAATAAGACACTCTTCATACCTAAAGCTGTAACTCACTGGCTGGCCAGGAAAGGTAATGACCAATAACTAAATTTGTTGTAAGTGCTATATAATATGGGAGAAGAACACAGATGAGAGATCAATACTTTCACCTTGGGGTCAGAATGTTGTAGAGACGACGTTCAAATGCTTCAAAACACTCATCTTCTGTAAAGGAGCCAAGAAATCATTTATCCAACAAATCCAAATTGAATCCCATTATTGTGGCAGATACGGTGTGTAAAAAACAGCAAAAACCAACCTGCAGTTGCTCATTTTGTGGCGTTTAAGAATCTAGTGAAAGGAGATAAAAAAAAGAATGAATAACACAAATGCATGACTCCTGCAGTTATTAGTTTGTGTCATAGGAGGATGTTTGAAAGTGTCGTGGAGGAGGATTTAAGCCAGTCAGGGCAGGTAAGCATGAGAGAAGAGAGGATTCTAGGCAGAGAAGAACTGAAAGTGCCACTGTGGGCTTAGTAGGTAACTGCTGTGTCTTCAGAGAGAATAACAGGGGGCCAGTGGGGCTGCAGCTCCTGGGGAAAGTGGGAGAAAGGGAGCAAGATGAGGCTGAAGAGAAGATAGGGACCAGGCCAAACATACACTATAGGTATAGTCCACATTAGACATTTAAGTCTTTATCCTGTAATAAATGAGGCTATTTAATTGTTTGCACAAATGTTGAACAAACACACCCCCACACATGCACACTCCATAAGGTGTCTTTGATTGCTAAATAGAGAACAGATTGGAGGGTCCCCTGACTGGTTAGGAAACTACTGTGCCAGTTCAGGTCAGAGATGGTGACTGATTAGAGTGATGAAGGTGGCGATGGCAAGAAGGGTATAGAGCTGTGCTTAGAGCTGTGGTCCCCAGCCCCCAGAACACAGAGCTCTGCCACCTCCCCCACCCACCAACCACTCCCCCCTGGTCCGTGGAAAAATTTTCTCCCATGAAACTTTGGGGGAGGTGGTGCACAGCAGGAGGGGAGCGAAGGGCCAGTAAGTGAAGCTTTATCTGTATTTACAGCCTTTCCCCTCGCCATTGCTCGGATCGCTGCCTGAGCTCCCTCCATCAGGGGTTCGTGGAAAAAATTGTCTTCCGTGAAACGAGTCCCTGGTGCCAAAATGGTTGGGTACCCCTGGCTTAGAGGGACAGGTATTCAGAAGGGCAGGTAGACAGAACATGATGAGAGATGGCAGGGAAGGAGAGGTGATAAGAATGACCTCTAAATTTCTGGTGTATGCAACTAGGTGGAAGGTGGGGGTCTTTCCTGAGAAAGGGGGAAGATCCAGGATAATCAGGTGTAGGAGGATGGGTGTAAGTGTCAGAGATGTGGAGTCTGAGATGCCTTTGAGTCATCGTGTGCAGGATGTGGCTGGGTGCCTGGAGGAGATGGATTGGCCTGGTTGCAAGACAGACATCTCTGTGCTGTAGCAAGAGTAGAAGAGTAGGCTGGGTGGGGGTGGAGGTAGATTTGTGTATTTGGTAGTGGGGAGAAGAGCAACTGGGTGGCCTGAGGAGTGAAGGTTTGTAAAAATTGTAATTAATGAAGGAAAAAATCAGAATTCATACTTTTCTACTTTCATACCCCAAATGTGAGCTTGCTAGTATTTGAAGCAAGCCATTTATTACTACTTCATAAGACCTGTAGAGTATTAGAGTGAAGAAAAAAAAAGTCACCAACATTAACTGATTACCCAGTGAAGACTTTTCTCTCTGTAACATAAGAAACCTAAAAGTCCTTCGTAGCAGCCTCCCATCTGAGGGTAGGTTCCTGAGATTGGTTTTGAGAACCTTGTGTGAAGGAGAGCTCACTATAATATTTTACGAGGCAGACCACTTCATCGATAGAGAGCTTCAGTTCAAATCCAAGAATGTGAAAAATTTGGAGGGATTTCAATAGTCATCAAGTACTTCCCATCCTTTTCATAAGAGCTCTGACAATCATCATGCACTCAATTGGAATTTCTTCAATAACAGGACACTCACTAATGTGTGAGACAAGCCTGGTATTTCTATAGGAGAGTTTTTCAAATCTCTGAAAACCATTCTTATGACCTTCTCCCACACCTAGAATTCTCTTCTCTGGAGACCATGTGTAACAATTTTGTCAACCATTCCACTTTCTATACAATTTTAAGATCTCTCACTATCTAAATTGCCCTTCTCTGGATGATTTATGTAAGATATAAAAAAGGGGGATTTGGCACAATAAATACTTCAGGTGTGGTTGACAAATACCAACTAAGAACATTGGGTGGAGAGTGAGGGCTCATCCACTTATCTGCATGGCCTTAATACCGTCCCTCAGTCACTCTCAAAAATGTGCTGGGGCACATTTTTGGCTAAAATATTCTAGAATATCACTATTAATTCTCTTAATATGGACACTTCGGTTTTCCAAACACAGCCCCAAATGTGGGTGATTCATTTGTTTGGCTGTTGGTGTTCTGTGTGCTCCATTTCATTTTGTATCCACTAAAACTGTGGACTCACATGATATTTCCTCTTAACCAAAGACCTTAGATAGTTATTTTTTTAATTCACTTTTTCAGATGTACATACAGCAAATTTCACTCTTTTTGATGTCCATGTCCATGAGTTTTCACAAATGTCTACAATTAGGTAACCAAAACACAATCAGGATATTAAACCATCTGTTACCACCACCTCTGTTCCACTTTAAAATGATCACCCCACCCTCTACCCCAGCAGTTTCTGGAAACCGCTGATGTATTCTTTTCCTATAATTTTGCCTTTTCCAGAATATCATACGAATGGAATCATATAGTAGGCAGTTTGTGTTCAGGTCTTGGCAACTATGGATAAAGTTTCTATGAACATTGTGTACAGGTTTGTGTGAGCCTAAGTTTTCATTTCTTTATGGTAAACACCACAGAGCAGTGTGGATTTGTTGGATCATATGGTAACTATATGTTTAGCTGAATTTAAAAACTGCCAAACTATTTCCCAAAGTGACAGCATCATCTTACATCCCTATCAGCACCTATAGAGAGATATTTTACCTATTCTCTGTGCTTTTAACAGCCATGGGGTGAACAGCAATGACCTTCCTTTATTCCTGATGTTGGTAACTTAGGTATTCTTAGAGTTTGGCACATTTTGTTGGTATTTCCAAAGAAACTGCTTTTGGATTTGTTGATTTTTGTTGAGGCTACATTTTCCTCTCTTGAGCTGGGTACTGAAGGAATGAATGATTACTTGAAACACAAAGTGTTTAGAGGGAAGAGGAGAGAGGAGAAAACCTAGAGGAGAAAATGGCCTCCTCAGCTAAGTTCCTCTCTGTATTTATTCCCAAGGACACGTGTACAAAGGGTAAGGGCCATTTGTTAATTTCTTTAAAAACTTCCATATAGGTCAGCTGTTTTTAACTGACCTTTGCACTCAGCAAACAAGCAGCTTCAGGCAGGTGTTTTCACCTGACCCTTCATTCACCTTGCTCACGTTCTTTCCATACAACTATCCATCCATCCATCCTTTCCTCTAGACCCAGCCCCTATAGAATTTCTCTATTGGGTTCCTGTTTTTAATTTTATTGATTTCTTCTCTACTTATTTCCTTTTTTTCCCCTGCATGTTTTAGGTTTAGTTTGCTCTTTTTTTCTAATTTCTTTAGGTAGAAGGTTACATTATTGATTTTAGATCTTTCCTTTGTTCTCTTATATACACTTTTGTTGCTATCCATTTCCCTCTCAGCATTTCTTCAGCTGAGTCCTATACATTTTAATGAATTGTACTTTCGTTTTAATTTATTTTATAAATATTTTCGAATGTCTCTTGAAACTTCTTATTTGACTCATGGGTTATTTATAAGTGTTATCAAAATTCAAATACATGGGAATTTTACAGCTATCTTTCTGTTACTGATTACTTGTTTGACTCTATTGGGGTTTGAGAATATGCTTTGGTTTGATTTCCTTTCTTTGAAATGTGCTAGTATATGTTTTATGGCCATGAGTGTGGTCTATTCTGGTAAATGTTCCATGTGCACT